TCAGGTAAACAAATACTGTTTTCCTACACACCCTGATACAGAGAACACACATCAACAAAGCATGCCTAAACATATACAGACACAGTCTTACAATTATCGTTTGTATCCTTTCCCTTATTGTAAACCCTGTTGTTAAAAAAAAAAAAAAGAAAAAAATTCAGAGGAAACCAAGTATTAAAAAAAAAAAAAAAGAAAGAAAAAAATTCAGAGGAAACCAAGTATTTTTTGTTTTATTCTTTAATTCGGCTTCACGCTGAAAATTTAATTTACAAGCCATTCATGAGGAAAATGTCCAGTTGGGCAGAATGAGCCATGATTGTGTAACTGCACTCAACACTTGTAGTGTATCATCTAGGTCCCTTTCAGTAAATCATCATACACCTTCTATAGCACAGTTTAAGCACCTATATCATATGCTCACTTCATCGCACCCTATAGTCCATTTTAACCTATCAGACAAGTAACAAGAGAAGAATGCTCGAATTGAGGTATTTCCTTTAAAAATTTACTGATCACTGGCATTCAGAGGTAATGTTAAATCATATAGTTTTAAACATTGAAAAAATGTACAAAAACCAAGTTCATTTTTAAAAAATATTATCCATAGTCTTCCATGCATGTTAATAAAAAATATAAAAATCAAATTTATAACACTGAAGCTATACCTTTTGTTCTGCAAAAGTTTTTCCACAATAGGAGCCACAAGGTATGGTCATCTTTAGTACAATACTTGTTTTTGCTCTTCATTTTATGAAATATAGTCAGTTCAGTGCAAAGGTAATAGTCTATGTACACATATAGTTGGAGCCACATGAGGGAAATTTACAGCAGAAAATAGTCATTTAGATCATTACTATCCAGTAGCACTAAATATTGTTACAGATTTACACTGCACATCCAAGGGCTCTTACAATAAAAACCTTTTTCCTTTAAACACACCAGCTCTGTTTGAGCAACCTTGAAGTCAGCAATAGAAGCTGTACCACTGATGGAACAACCACGTAATACCTCACAAGTGAGTCCCTATAAAAAAGCTTCCTGCTCTGTCAACACAGGTTTCCAGCTAAAAGCATCCTTTTCATGGCAGTGCCTAACTTGGATTCAGTAGAAGTACAAGAAAATTCCAAAATGTGATCATTTCAGTGTTAACTTTTTCAGTTTTGCATTTAAAGTTTCAAGTGTGTTCAAAACCATAGCAATCTTTTTTTTTCCCCCCAAAATATAAAAATGATAGCCTCAATGCAAGTTCAACAACAGAGATCAAAACTATTTTTTCTGAGTTATTTCTCAGCTTGCTGATTACTCATTCTTTTTTTTTCAAAAAAGATGAATTGGTATCTGTCATCAAATTAGAAATGTCTCACACACCTGGACAGATGCTGGGGATTACAAAAAGGTTTAGAAAGTGGTCCCGTTGAACAGATGTCAAATACTTCCAGCACAACGCTGAAACATTTAAATAGTATAGTACATAATACAAGGTTAGCTGATGCTTATTTTGGGTCCTCTTCCATGAAACAAATTCTATCACTTCTAAAGAAATTTACTTCTGACTTCTAACATTGCTGATTTACGTGGACTCTTAATACCCTTAGAGCAACATGAAAAAGCAATATAAACAAATCACCAAACACAAACAACTACAGAGACAAGCAGCTGCAATGGGTTTGTTTTTTGTCTGAGTATATACAGTTGCTAAGGAGACATGTTTAACTTAAAGGAATTCTAATTCATATATTTAAAAATACAATTTCATTTTTAGATGTTGACTTTAAAACTGCCTTTGTTGTCTGGAAAATACAGCACTGGCTAACCTAAATGTCCTTTTTGAAATATAAGAAATATTTTGCTTGAAGTTCATTATAAAAGAAAACATAGGACAAAAAAATATATACTTAGGCCATAAAAGATCTTTCAAAGTTTATTTCTTTAGCATTTAAAATACAAAATTGTCTTCATGCTGGATAGTGAATAAAAGACATGTATTTGGGTTTTCCCCATATACATTCATAGAATTAGAAACAACCTATTGTCAGATGAATTTCATTTCCAGTACCATGGTAGGATGAAAAGTGTTTGAGCGTTAGCTTTCTTCAGTATCCACGAGGAGACTTTGTTTGCAATCACATTAATATATCCTGCATTTGGAGCATGGAAGTGAACAGGCTCACACTGAAAGTGATATATATATATATATAGCATGTCAGGAGTCAATCCAATTTAAGGTTTCACTGTAAACTTCTAATACTTCTAAATTTAATTTCTTGTTGCTCACAGGAACCAAGACAATCTCATAAGCTCTTTCAGACCTAGTGTCACCTGGATACACCTGCAATAGTTGAAGTGTATGAAAAGAAAAAGCAGTTCTGTACCTAATGGCAGGCACGAGCTAAAATATACATAGGCTTTTTGGGTAGCATTACCAGAACAGGACTCAAATATTCACCTGCTGCTTCTGGCTCAGGGAGAAAAGTCCATGAATGTCACTTAAGCTTAAGAGGCAGCAGGGTCTCCCTCTGGCTGCAACAAACCTACAAAGAACAGACAGCCCAAGCAAGAACTAGGGATACAGTTAACTGAATTTACCAGCTCCAGAGGCAGAAAAGATCCTTCTATTTACTGTGGGAAAAGGCCAGCTGCAGAGTGAAGGCTTTGCTGCCATGCTGGGCATGGATGGGATTTTCTACTTGCTGGTCTGGAATTAGAAGTTCAGCCTGATTTTTCTTCAGCTGACTTTGGCTCAGAACTGGCACTCTTAAATAACACCCCACTGACAGTACAAAAGTAGAGTCTTACAGAAGTAATGATTTTTTTCTCTTGCTTCTGACATTTTTGGTCAAAGTGAAAAAACTGAAATGCAACACTCTACCAAGAGATTATCATACAGCACCTTTTTTGAGATCCCCAAGCTATCTCAAGTGAGCTCTGATGTTCATATGGCTCTGTCCAACTTAGCTCACAATAAAGCATGATAACCATGTTCATAAAAAAGTACCCCAAAGAGCTAAGTTACATAACAGGAATAACTTATTGAGGTGCAGTCAGTGCTAGGGTGATTCTACTGTTTCTGTTCCCAGACACTGATCATTTTAAAACTGCAAATACATCTATATCCCAAAGTTGGCCTGCACAGGAGTACTCTGCTCTGCCACCCTGCTAAGGAAAGTGGAATAAACAGCCACTGTCACCACACTACCAGTAAAATGACTTTGCATTATGAACTTGCAAGACAATCTAGGTAGTTTCAAGTATTGTGCAGAAATGTGTCAGTGTATCTCACAGAATCATAAACCATCTATTTTATAAGCCTCTTATATCCTCTGCTCTCTTGGTGTCACCCATTTCAGTTTAATCACATTACACATGATAAAGCACATCACACCATCTGGGGAAAAAAAAGCTGCTTTCTACAAAACAAATCACTTTTCCACTTGAAGAAGTCAAAGTAGTTTAGGATCTTGAAAGAAACCTGAAATGTTTCCCAGAGAAAGAAACTGTCTCAACTTGAGCACTATGAGATGCACAAAATACTCACAGACCCAAGTCCAAACCCATCTAAAGGACTCTGTTTGCTGCTGTGTTCTCTCAGTAGTTTTAACTCAGTATTATAATTTATACGTAGTTTGATCACAGTATTATAATTTATACATGGTGATCAGCATTGTATATCCAGTTCACCACCATAACTATTCCACAGAACTATCACTTTTCCATCTCTGAGGTGATGCTGGAGGGTTTTTACTTGTAAGAAGATGCTACAGAGTTCCTGTGACGGTTTAAATACTTTTCTCCATAATTCAAAGGAAAAAAGGCAGGGTGAGAAGTCAAAATCCCACTGTCTACACTCTAGTGACCAAGACATTATTGGGATGTTGCAGCACCTTCAAGAAATCAACCTCTGAGTAAAGACTGCCTGGCCTAAATTCTACCTAGTCAGGATAGCAAAATTACCTGAATGACCACATCAGCCTTCCTGCCCATATGTGAAACAGATCTTGCAGTTTTGCAGGACTGATAAATTAATAATTTAATTAATTAGTAACTAATTATCAACGGCACTGATGACAACTCTTACTTCCATTTTGTATTGTTTCCTTTTGTATTTTGTAGTGATTTATTCAGAATAATTTGTTCATTTAAGTCTTCCTAATCAGCTGAAGTTCAGATACCTGAAAAGTAGCAACCTATTTGAAGTGCCTGGTTCACAGGGAACTTCTGTGCCTCAATACGGCTTTGAATTTGAATTTTGCTAATGTAGAACTCTTGGCCAGTGTATTTGTCATTTCCTATTTCTAGAACACTCATGAAATCTCTGCTAGAGCAAAAACCAGACAGTTCAC